GCATAACAGATTGGCTCCCTAACATCTCCCAAAGGTGACTGATGAATTTTTTACATCAGTATGAACTCATACATTTAAACACAATTGAGGGCCGGCCCCGTGGCTTAGCCATTAAGTGCGAGCGCTCCGCTGCTGGCGGCCCCGCGTTTGGATCCCGGGCGCGCACCGACGCACCGCTTGTCCGGCCATGCTGGGGCCGTGTTCCACATACAGCAACTAGAAAGATGTGAAACTATGACATACAACTATCTACTGGGGCTTTGGGGGAAAAATAAATAAATAAAATAAAATTATAAAAAAAATAAACACAATTGAGATGTTTTTGCTTTTGTTTATTTTGTGAGGAAGATCAGCCCTGAGCTAACATCCATGCCAATCTTCCTCTTTTTGCTGAGGAAGAGTGGCGCTGGGCTAACATCTATGCCCATCTTCCTCCACTTTATATGGGACGCCGCCACAGCATGGCCAGACAAGTGGTGCGTTGGTGCGCGCCCGGGATCCGAACCAGGGCCGCCAGCAGTGGAGTGAGTGCACTTAACCGCTATGCCACGGGGCTGGCCCCGAGATGTTTAATCCATTGCAATTATTTGTCTCATAAGCAGTTTGTACACTTGAGAATTTCTTTGTGACTAGATATTCAGTCTGTTGTAAATGATGACAGCCAGAAAAGAAGGTACATTCAATATGGTAAGATATATACCCTGGTAACTCAGGCGTACCTCTTATGTATGTTAGATCCAGAGCTTCCCAAACATTCTCAGTTCAGAGCACCCCTAGTTAAGGTTCAGTAATTATTTTAACAGACCCCTGAGCCAAAAGAAATACCTAACAGTTTCATTTATTAAATAGACAAGTCCAAACAACTTAAGTATGTACGTCCTAGCAACTTAGAGTAGACATTTGGAAGAGTAATACACAGAAATTTAAAGAAAAAATTTTTCATTGCATTTTCAAGTAACAACAATTATTATGAATGAATTTGAACGCCTGGCGGGCACTTCTGAAATCTTGGAATCAGACTGGACACTGCCGCCCTTGTTGCCTGTTCCATGTTGACTTTCACACAGTAACTGCTTTTTCAATAACTGCCAGAAACCTAGCCTTGCAGAGACATGAAATCATGGAAAGGAACATGGAAGATATAATGTGGAAACCGTGAACTGCCCTGAGCACAGCGTCCAAAGGTGCTGAGTATCACGGTTCCTCTCAAAAGTATCCTCCCGTGCCCTGTGAGTTTACTGTGGGGCCGGGGTGCCTCAGCGCATGGTTTGGGAACCACAGCTCTATGCCCTTCCCTTTTCCCTCTGGATCTGTGGAAGTCCTCTCCCCCAGGCCACACGTTGGTGTGCGGTTAGTCACCGCCCCCGCCCCCCAACAGCTCTAAGGGACAGGTCGCGGGGTCTCATGGCCTTGGTATTGCATAAAGCCTGACAGCCTGCACATGTTGGGTGTTCCTGAGGCCATTTGTTCTCAGCCTCAGTGCTTAAAGGACTTTTTCTTTATCCTTTGATTTCAGCCACATCAGAGCTCAAGACCTGGCTCCAACTTCGTTGTGATCTGGAACAGGTTTGGTTTAACCAAAGAGGGTGGCAGACTCTCAGTGTTGATGTAAAAACAAGCTCAGCCTGATCAGAGAAAGTGGTTTGCTGTCATTTCCCTGTATTTGCCCATTTCCCTGCTAACATGACTTTGAAAAATGCCGGAAGTGCTGGGCTCCCTCCCCTTCCCTGACAACCATTCTGCATCTCCAGTGGGGGCTGGGCACAGGAGGACTGGCTCCTCAGTCCTCCACTCCCGACTCCCTGCCATTGGTGTTGGGCTTGGCCCTGTTGCTTGCTAAGGCCAAGAGAACGTGGGCCAAAGTGGCAACGGGCAAATTCCAAGTCTAGACTTCTGGAGGCATGGTGTATTTCTGTTCACCCCTCTGGAAGTTTCCACCTTCCGCCACACTAGAAGAGCATGCCCTGGGTAGCCGCAGTCCCTCCATCCTGGCCCCAGAAAGAGGCCTAGGGAGCAGAGTCCTCCTAGCTGACCTGCAGACCGGTGAGCATAAGAAAAAATGCATATTGTTGTACACAGCAACAGCTGACTTATACAAATGGAAAAGAGGCCCATGAGGGAAAGGTAAAAGAGTGACGGAAATATAACGTCTGAGAAAGGTTATTGTTCTTAGGGATAAGGTGAATTTTTAAGGAGAGATGCAGTGATTCTTCTGTGGAATGTTATATCCATTGATGATTCCTAAGACAGACCTAAAAGGAAGGCAGTGATGGTTTTATCCTCATTTTATAGATGAAGATACTAAGGCTCAAAGTGGTTGAAGGTGCATGGATGAGCCTAGTCTGGGCCCCAAATCCCTGACTCCTGGGCCAGGTGCTTCCCCTGGCTGTGCGGCCTCTCGTTCAGGCCCGACTCTGAGGGCGGCCAACATGGCAACAGCTCAGCACTTTGGACACGTGGGGCCGTGGTAGGGCCCTTTCTTCTGGTGGCTCAGGGAGGGAGGGCAGGGACTGTGGCTGGGAGCTCCCCACAGCAGAAGGGGCAGCATTTGATTAACAAGAGGGCAGAGGTGCCAACAGACGGGTGTCTTGTGCTGAGAACTGGAGGGGCCAGTCACCCGCAGCGGGAGCCATGGCTGTGCCACTTGTGGAAGGCATCCTGTGTCTGGCCAGAAGCTGAACCAGTGGCTTCCCTCTAGGTTTGCTCCCATGCTCCTCTGGAAAGGTCTGGCAAGTGTGTGTCCAGGAAGGAAACCCACGGAAGAAAGGGGTCTAAGCACCTGCGTTGAATATGCCGATGGTGTCGCCTTGGTGGTTGGGGGTCTGGATTTTTGACATACTTGAAGCTGTCCCAGCCTCAGAGATTGAAAATGAAAGAATCAGCAATCAAACCTTTGCAAAAGCCTACGATGGGGCTCCTGGCAGCTTGAGGGCCGGCCACATGACCCCATCTTGCAGACTCCACATCAAGGGACACATGAGCTGATTAGCATTCATGCCGACAGCCAGAGCCATCCGTCAGCGTGTTTTCATTACTTCAGGAGGTTCTGGTCTTGTTGATTTACCTTCTGAACTGCTTATAATCTCTGCGTCCTCCTGCTTCACCACCAGCTGGCAGATCTGTAGCACTTTCTTTTGACCTTGGTCCCTGCTGACTGCTGTCCTCAGGCCACCCCTGCTCCGACCTCCAGTTCTCCACAGCCCTGCACCCACCTTCACACTGGGAGACCCTTCCATCCCAGGGAAGGACCTGGCCCTCCCACTTCCAGGGCTCTCCTTAAAGACCACAGCTCCTCCCAAATGGGGCGGACCCTTGGATGGGGTGGTGGGCTGAATATGCACGTCCTAATCCCTGGAACTGTGGGTGCTACCTTATACAGCAAAAGTGGACTTTGCAGACGTGATTAAGGATCTTGAGATGGGGAGATGGTCCTGGATTATCTGGAAGGACCTTAAATTCAATCACCTACATCTTTATAAGAGGGAGGCAGAGAAGTGACACAGAAGAGAAGGTAATGTGACAATGGAGCCAGAGACTGGAGTGATGTGGCCACAAGCCAAGGAACACCAGGAGCCCCCAGAAGCTAAAGAGGCAGAAAGGATCCTCCCCTAGAGTCTCCAGAGGGAGCACGGCCCTGTGGCACCTTGATTTCAGCTCAGTGAAATAGATTTCAGACTTTGGCCTCTAAAGCTGTTAAGAGAATAAATTTCTGTCATTTTAAGCCAAGTTTGTGGTGACTTGTTACAATAGCCTCAGGAAACGAATACAAATGGGAAAGTCAAGGATTCCAAAAAGAAATGACTGGACCCAAGGCCTGGCACAGATCCTCACCTGCTGCCTGACAATGTCCTGTGACCCGGTCACTTGGGTCACCTGTGCCTGGAATGCACAGCCACTCGTCCACCTCAAGGCTCTCCACTGCCTTGCTGGCAACTGAGGTGGGCCCTGCAGTCCCCGGCCCTTCCTGGCGCCCACAGCCCTGCAGCCCCCAATGCCCCATCACATGTGCACCCCGACTTCTAGCCAAGTTGCCTGCAGCTCTCGTGGCTGATGGATTAAGAGGCAGGGGTTGGGGTTGGTAGGAGACAGGTCTTGGGCCACAGAATGGCCACCACGGGCTCTATTTGCAACATGTAACACGGGACGTCTGGCTTTGGGGGCTGGCTCCTGCAGACGGGAGCGCCACCAGGCCCCACTCTCCAGCACACACCTGCTCCCCATCCCTAGAAAAGCAGTATGTGCTAAGGACACAGGAGCCTTTCGTCCTATTATTAGACTTTTTAAAACCAAGTGCAAATATTACCACGTGCTCTTTTTACAGTAGCAGGAACCTGTGCCTGTTGATGTGAGCAGATGCCAGCCAGCCACGTGTGTGCAAAGCAGTGACGCGGTTCTGTGTCCTCCAGGTGACGCCCTGGGAAAGGTCACAGCTGCCTAAACCTTTAAAACCCCAGGCAGGACAAGCATTCCCTGTGCAGGGATCCGGAGTGCAGCAGCTCTGCCTGGGCCTCTCAGCTGTGTTCTTAATAGAATTCTCTTCATAAATTACTTTTCCTTCTTAAAGCAGCAAAAGGAGAAAACTGATATCAGAGAATATCAATTCCTGATTCTTGGAAGAATTCCCGTCGTCTGTGGAAGTTGCGTTTCAGGTGAGTGTGTCTGGTGCCCCAAGGGCTGTGTGACGTGTGGCCTGTGGAGGGTGGGCACAAGGCCCAGAGAACCCACAGGGTCCCTCTGGGTGACTGTGGCCACTCTGGGAAGAGCCCCGGCCAATCCTGGCTGGGTGGGTGCCTGGAGCAGGGAGGGCCGTGAGCTGGTGTCCCACCAACAGAGCACTGGGGGCCTCCTCAGGCTGGTGACCCTCACAGGGACTTGTCCGGCAGGTGGAGGAGGGAGAAGCCCCCGGGGTCCGTAACTCGGCACTAGGTGTCTGGCTCTTGGGACACTGGTGAGAGGACTGAGGCTCGCCTTGGCCTGCTCAGCACAGCCTACAAAGACAGGATTTACTCAACCTTGGGGTCCACCAGCTCTGCCCAGCTGGGCTGTGGGGGAGGACAGGGCGCTGTCTCCACTACCCCCAGACCCACACACGAACATCTCTCCTGCTCCAGAATGAAGAGTGCCAGGCTGATGGGTGGCCTGCTCACCCTGGCTGGCCTGCTGCAGGTGGCCCTGTCCCTGAAAATAGCAGCCTTCAACATCCAGACTTTTGGGGAAAACAAGATGTCCAATGCCACCCTCTCCAACTACATCGTGCAGGTAAATCCAGGCTGGCCTGTCCCTGAGGAACCCCTGGGAGGGGGGTAGGGGACTGTAACAGGCCCTGGGGACACTGCATCAGTGGTTAGTCCTGAGAGTGGCCACACACGTTGGACCAAGGAGGTGTCAAGAGCCTCTCTTCTCGGCCCCCCAGTCAGGGGGAGCAGGGCCATTGTCACTGTCATGCCACCCATAGCTGGCAGCAAAGTCCCAGGGAAAAGCATCAGGCTGCAGGCCAAACCGTGACATGAAAGCACCCCAGGGAGCAGCAGCTTGGCGCCTGCAGGGACCTGGAGCAGGCAGGGCCCCGACACCCAAGTGTCCGCCCAGCCCGCCCCGGCTCAGCACTGTGGCCCCTCCCCCAGATCCTGAATCGCTATGACATCGCCCTCATCCAGGAGGTCAGAGACAGCTACTTGACAGCCGTGGGGAAGCTGCTGGACATACTCAATCAGTGGGTGACAGCGGTGGGGTCCTGGGGAGGCACAGGGGGATGGTGACCATCCTTTCCAGGACACGGCATCACTTCAGCCAGGCCCCAGGAGTGTCCTCTTTGGGCCCCCTGACTGGGATGTTTGTTTCCTCAATCCAGGGATGAGCCAAACACTTATCACTTTGTGGTCAGTGAGCCACTGGGACGCAGCAGCTACAAGGAGCGCTACCTCTTCGTATTCAGGTAAAGCCCCTGGTGCCAGGAAAAGCGGGCCACCTCCTCAGAGGGTACCGACAGAAGGTGGAGGGTGGTCCAGAGAACCCCTCTCCTCCAGGTGTGGGGCAGCAGTCTTTCCTACGGGGCAAGAACTGGAGGCCACAGAGCAGGGTCCGAGTTGGGCCACCCACCCCAGATGCCTGCTGTGCCCCAACACCTCACTGCCTGTGCAGAGGCAGAAAGATGTGTGTGGGAGCTCTGGGCCCCTGCCCACCTGGACACAGCAGCAAGCGGCTTTAGTGAGATGAGGCAGCGTCTCCAGCCCCAGGTTAAGCACCCTCCGGCCCGGCCTTCCGCAGACCTGACCAGGTGTCCCTGCTGGAGAGCTACCAGTACGACGACGGTTGCGAGCCCTGCGGGAACGACACCTTCAGCCGAGAGCCAGCCATTGTCAAGTTCTTCTCCCCGTTCACCCGTGAGTGCTGCTGCTTCAGTGGCTCCCCTCCCTGCTGTGCTGAGGGGACCCACTTGTCCCTTCCTAAAACACCTTGAAAGCCAATGTCACATGCTGCCTTCCCAGCCCCAGGGCTTTGGTCCTACGTTGAAGTTACTTAGGAAAACGTCCACCTCCTCAGGGACTCTCGTGTGTCCTCCATCCCAGCCCTGGGATGACTGAGCCTGGCCCCATGTGTGCTGGGACCAGGCCTGCCCACTCTCTCCCACGGGGCTTAGCACGACAACTGTCTCCACAGAGGTCAAGGAGTTTGCCATTGTTCCCCTGCATGCTGCCCCATCGGATGCAGTGGCTGAGATTGACTCTCTCTATGATGTCTACCTGGACGTCCAGCAGAAGTGGGACATGGAGGTGAGGTCCCCTTTGCATTGGGCTGTGGAGGCCCCCATTCTGTCCCTGGGCCAACTGGCTGGTGTCTCCTGGTAGGACATCATGTTGATGGGCGATTTCAACGCTGGCTGCAGCTATGTGACCCCTTCGCAATGGCCATCGATCCGCCTGCGCACAAACCCAGCCTTCCAGTGGCTGATTCCTGACACCGCCGACACCACCGTGAAATCCACGCATTGCGCCTACGACAGGTGAGCAGGACCTGGGCCCGTCACCACACCCCCTGGGTGGGTTCTGCAGGCTCAGGGCAGGCAGGGACGAGGGTGCCTCAGGGAGCGGCCTGACTTCTAGGTCCAGCTTCAGAAAAGGTTCTCAAGACCTGTGACACACACCCTCCTGAGCTTTCGTCAACCCACTGAGGAAACAGAATAAAGGGAACACTTCTTAGTTCTTGGAAAAGCACATTTAGGGATAAGATGATGCTAGTTTTTCTCCTCTGTGCAGTCTCAGGTATACAGGTCAGTCAGTGTACGCAGTTTGGGCACACCCAGACCTGAGTCTGACCAGGTACGAGGCCAGCCCTGAGGGCCCCTTCCTCGGGCACCCAAGGGCTGCAGCCAGCGAGGCACGAGCCAGCTCCCGCAGGCTTCTCGCTCAGAGCTGCTGCCAGGAAGGTGAGATGCCCAAGTGCCTGGGGTGGGCGAGGGCTGAGCTGGGCCTGGCTCCACAGGCACAACAGAAGTGTGTGACATTTACCAGACCAAGAGATGAGCTTCTCTTGTGTCCGGTGCTGCAGGATTGTGGTGGCTGGAACTCTGCTCCAAAATGCTGTCGTTTCTGACTCGGCTGCTCCCTTTGACTTCCAAGCTGCGTACGACCTGAGCGACCAGACCGTAAGTGGCTTTTTGTGCTGCAGCTCTAATGGGGGTCTGGGATGCAGGAGCATAGTAAGATCCAGCCCATGCGACTTCTGGCAATCGCTGCTTTTTTCATCGACTTCCAAGAGCCACTTGTCCTTGGCCCTGGGAGCCTCCTGGTCTCTTCTTCCCAGGCAGATGTGACAGAACAAAGTACCTGGGTCCAAATCAGGACCCGGCCCTCAAAGAGTACTGTTTGCAGAGTACTAACACACTGGGCATCCCTGTGCTCACTGCGCGTTTCCCCCCAGGCCGAAGCCATCAGCGACCATTACCCGGTGGAGGTGACGCTGAGGTGAGCAGGGTCCCTGGCTGGAGGCCTTTGCAGCTTACCTGTCACTGCTCCTGGGGACCTGCACAAAGAACTGACTGACAGAGACGGCTGATCCTGTCATCACATTCAAGTGCTGGGAACAGAGTTCCCCGAGCACAGGGCAGCACTCTCTCCCCACTGTCCCCAGCCAACCACCACGGCAGCTGGAGAGTGAGGAACGCTTTTTCTCACTGTCCCTGTTTCCATCCTGAGCATGGGGTTGTGTCACTAGAGCACTCTACCTTCTCAGAGTCTGGACAAAAAGTCTAACACTTACATTAAGAAATAGCTTTTAATTTAAGTAAATAAAGCTCGAAAAGGGGTGTTCTCATCAGTGGCATCCAGTCCTTCCTTCTCCGGCTGGTCTCAGGCTGCCTCGTCCCACAGCAGAAGCGCACGGTTCTAGTCGTCATCTCTGCTGGAGCCCTAACACTGCAGGGAAGACCTGGGGCTTTCATAGGCCGCTGTCCTGCACTCCAGGACCGGGCCCCTCAGCTGTCAGTGTCGCTCCAGGGCCTTGACGAGCAGGGTGTTCAGGCGGCCCACCATGGCTCTGGGGTCATCAACAAGCCCGGCTGCGATCATGGCGTTCTCATAGATCTGAAAGGCAGGGCAGTAACCTCATTAGCGGGAGGGCAACGCCCTGTCCTAGCTCCACCTCAGGGACCCAAAATGCAGAGAGAAGAAGGAAAGAGAGAGCTGTTCCTTTTTAAAACAGGGTTTTAGAAGAAACTTAGCTGTCCCGCCTCAAAGGAAGAAGCGGGCTCACAGACAGGCAGCCGAGCACCTCAGTTCTCCGCCTGCCTCCGAGAGACTCACCTGATCGACGAGCAGCTGAGCCAGGCCAGGCTCTCGCTCTCGCAGCTGACTGAGCTTCTTGACCAGCGTGTGCCTGCAGCAGAGAAACCCCCAGAAGTCAGCTCACCGCTGGGTGCCACACAACCACCTCAAGGCCTCTAACGTCACGTTCCAGGACCCTTCTGAGATGGTGCGGTTATCAGAACACTCAAAAAAGCGTAACCGGACGGTCCAGTATAAAAACGTAAGGCACATAAAAATGAGAAAGGAGATGCAAACGCTCCTTTATAGATTATGTCATTATTATCCAAGAGAATCATTCATGGGTTTTGATATTAGAAAATGTAGTAAGAACCAAAATTAATATAAACTATACACAACTAAGGGAAAGAAAGAAGAGTTTAGTGTATAAAAAGGCATACGTTGGTTCTTGGATACGTAGACCATAAAGGTGAAACTTTCCCTAAATTAATCCATACATTTAATATGTTTCCTTTATATCAATAGATTATATTAAAAGATTTCTTTTAATTCACAAAGAAAAGTAAACACGGAAGAACAGCTAGGAGAAGCTGGGGAAGGAACTCCCAGATGTTAAGACATTCGATAAAGTGTCAGTAATTGACCAGTTTAGTTCCAGAAGATGAAAACCAAGTGGACAAATAGCCCCACTGCATACATCTGGGAATTTCGTTAATACCTGATAAAAACAGCCTCACACGAGAGCAGAAAAGACAGGATAACTGGCCAGTTAACCAGAAAACAAGTTGGATTCCTTAGACCAAATAAATTCCAAAGGGATGAAAGATTAAAGAGCATAAAATTATAATACTGGAAGAAATGTTTTATAATCTCAGAAGGAAGAATGCCTTTCCAAGCAAAATACAAACCCATGTGTCAGAAAGAAAAGAATGATAACTGACTAGAGAAACTGAAACTTTTTCTGCATAGGAAAAAATAGCATAGATAGAGTGTCTAACCTTACTTGTAATAAGAGACATACATCAAAATTATAAGATAATTTTTCACTTATGAGAATGGCAAAAATTAAGAAGCTTGATAAAACAAGGCACTGGGGAAATATAAACGTGTCTAACTGCTACAGAAGACAACTGGAGTCTGTACAAGTTCAACATGCACGATGCTCTGAGACTCAGCAGTTCCCGTTCCTCACGGCACTGTTTATAACAGGAAACTTGTAAAAAGCAAGGTGAGGATGGCTGCACAGCAAGTCACCACTTGTGGAACAGGGGAAGCCCCAGACGGCTGTGCCTGCACACACACAGCCTCTCTGGAAAGATACATAAGAAACCTAACGCGGGCTGCGCTGAGGACAAGGGAAGGAGGGAACTTTCACAACAAACTCCTTTGGTTCTTTTGAACTCTGAGCCATGTGAGTATATTACCAATTTTAAAGGCAAATAACATTTAAAAAATAAAGCCTTTGGGAGGCCAGCCTGGTGGTGCAGCGGTTAAGTGTGCGCACTCCGCTGCGGCAGCCCGGGGTTCGCCAGTTCGGATCCCGGCCGCACACCGACGCACTGCTTGTCGAGCCATGCTGTGGCAGCGTCCCATATAAAGTGGAGGAAGATGGGCACGGATGTTAGCCCAGGGCCAATCTTCCTCAGCAAAAAAAAAAAAAAAAAAAAACCGGAGGATTAGCATGCAACGTTAGCTCAGGGCTGATCTTCCTCACAAATAAAAAAATAAATAAAATAAAGCCTCTGGCAATAGAAATGAGCACTTCCACACAGTCATCTTATAAAACTACTTTTGTGCCAGAACTAGTCATGAGAATCCATCTCCATCAGGGACTCACAGCTGGAAACCACATGCCTGCCCAGGGATGGAGGCACACAGGTTATGCAAACTGGTATAGCTCTTTTGGAAAGGTGTCTGACACTCTGTATTACTAGCCATAAGCCATTTCAGATTTTTCACCCAGTAATTCCATGTCTAGTAATTGGGATCAGAAAATGGAAAAAGAACCTCTCTCACTCCCCAGTAGTTTATAATAAATAAAATTTATGATTATAAAGCAACATGGAAAAATACTTATAATAAAGTAATGAATTAAAAAATTAGACATGTACTATATAAAAAAATCCCAAAACCACAAAAATTTAAGATGAAAGTCCAAAAGAAAATATACCAAACAGGAAATAGTAATCGGGGAATGAGACTACAGATTTTGTTTTTAACATTTTTGGTAACTTGTTTATGTAATTTCATTTTAAAAATTATTGCTATATACAAAAGCAATTTCCAAAACAACTGTCTTCAACAGGTAGAAAATGAAATTTCAGGGGGCTGGCCTGGTGGCGTAGTGGTTAAGTGGGCACACCCCGCGTCGGTGGCCCAGGGTTCATGGGGTCAGATCCCAGGCACGGACCTACACACCGCTCATCAAGCCATGCTGTGGTGGCATTCCACACACATAAAATAGAGGAAGATTGGCACAGATGTTAGCTCAGGAACAATCTTCCTCACACACAAAAAAAAGAAATTTCAAAATATCCAATAAACTGCTCACTTTGGCAGCTTGTATATTAAAATATCCAATACATAAAGCACATTAAAAAATAACTCCATAAAAAAAGTACAAAAACTTTACAGAAAACATAAGTTACCAAAAGATATTAAATAAGACCTGTGGCCGGCCCCGTGGCATAGCGGTTAACCACGTGCTCCGCTGTTGGCAGCCTGGGTTCGGATCCGGGGCGCACACCGATGCACTGCTTGTCAGGCCATGCTGTGGCGGCGTCCCATATAAAGTAGAGGAAGATGGGCACGGATGTTAGCCCAGGGCCGGTCTTCCTCAGCAAAAAAAGAGGAGGATTGGCATGCATGTTAGCTCAGGGCTGATCTTCCTCACCAAAAAAAAAAAAAAAAAAGATATTAAATAAGACCTAAATAAATGGAGAGATATATTACATTCATGGATGGAAAGAAGTGATATTGTAAAGACACCAATTCATTCGGAATTGATTTAGGGAATCAATACAATCTTAATCAAAAGCCAAACAGTTTGTGTGTGTGTGAGTATGTATGGAACTTGTCAGGCTAATTAAAAAATATATACAAGTGAGGACCTAGAACAGCCAAGACATTCTTGAAGAAAAAGAAGAGAAAAACTCACCTTCTGAATATGAAGACTTGTGGGAAAGCTGAATGGTTAAGACAGTGCAGTACTGGCAAAAACAGACAGACCAACAGAACAGAAACGCCTGTATGGACTCCTGATACTTGACAACAGAGAAGGCAACACGGATCAGCCAGGAGAGGACAGACTGATGCAATCCATTGGTGGGGGGTGATTGGGTATCCACATGGGATAAGGTGAAACTGGACCTTCCCCACAAACTAATTAGAGATGGGCTGAAATCCAACACAAAAGGCCCAAACTATAATGCTTTTGGAAAGAAATATAGGAGAATAAATTTATGATTCCAGTGATAGACAAAGCTTTCTTAAACAAGACCAAAAAAGCACCTAACAAAGATTTATAAATTTGATTATATTAAAATTAAGAACTTCTCATCAAAAAATATCTTAAGGCAGGTGAAAAGACAGAGTGAGAAGAAATATTTGCAACTGATAAAGAACTTTATTTGTGCTGTCAAGTGAATTCCGACTCCTAGCGACTCTGTGTACAGCAGAGCGGAACCCTGCCCAGTCTTTCTGTGCCATCCTCTCACCTTCTGACACTATATCAGACAATACTCCGCTGCTATTCATAGGGTTTTCAGGGACAATTTTTCTGCAAGTGGGTGGCCGGGTCCTTCTTCCTAGTCTGTCTAGTCTGGAAGCTCCACTGAAACCTGTCCACTATGGGTGACCCTGATAGTATTTGAAATACCAGTGGCATAGCTTACAGCATCACAGTAACACATAGCCACCACAGTGTAACAACTGACAGATGGGTGGTGTGGTTCCCTGACCAGGAAACGAACCTGGGCCATGGCAGTGCGAGTGCCGAATCTTAACCACTAGACAACCAATACAAAGAATTAAATATCAACTGGAAAAAAAAAAAAAAAAAAGCAGGGCCGGCCCTGTGGCTGAGTGATTCAAGTTCTGCGCTCTGCTTCAGTGGCCCAGGTTTGCAGGTTCAGATCCCGGGTGCGGACTTACCCCACTTGTCGGCCATGCTGTGGAGCCATCCCACATACATAAACGGAGGAAGATTGGCACAGATGTTAGCTCAGGTCTAATCTTCCTCAAGCAAAAAAAAAAAAAACAAAAAAAAAAGGAAGACTGGCAATGGATGTTAGCTTAGGGTGAATCTTTCTCAACAAAAGAAAAAAAGAGAGAGAGAACCCAACAGGGAAAAGAACAGAGTCTTAAAAGACATGTCATGAGAAAGCCAAAGCCAAGCCCAAGGCAAGGAAATGCAGGGACCCAGCAGTTCTCATGCTGTGCTGGGGGAGCTGGCGCCAGCACTCTGGAAACATTTGGGCATCACGCAGCCCAGCTGAGGATACGGTGGCTTCACGCCTGGGCGCACACCTTGGAGAAACTTTCACATGGGCCAGACCTGGGGACAAGAACGTTCACAGCAACCTGTTCCCAACAGCCCCCAAATGGAAACTACACGAATGTCCATCAAAATAGGACAACTGTGCTGAGACAGATTCATACCATGAATATTACTCAGCTATGAAAATAAACTACAGCCACCCTCCACATGGACAGTCTCCCACATGCTGAGTGAAGAGAGAGACTTCAGAGAGAACATGTGCACAGGGATTCCATTCACATATAAGTTCAAAAACAGGGCCGGCCCCGTGGCTTGGCGGTTAAGTGCACACACTGTGCTGCTGGCGGCCCGGGTTCGGATCCTGGGTGCGCACCGACGCACCGCTCCTCTGGCCACGCTGGGGCCGCATCCCACGTACGGCAACTAGAAGAATGTGCAGCTATGACAGACAACTATCTGCTGGGGCTTTGGGGGAAAAATAAATAAACAAAAAATCTTTAAAATAAGTTCAAAAACAGGTAAAACTGACACTGTTGTTTAAGGATGCACAAATAGATGATAAAACCATAAAGCAAAGCAAGGAAATGACTATCACAAAAGTCAGACTGTGGTTCCCTGAGGAGAGGGGCAGAATGCCAGCTGGGAGAAAAGGGGGAGCGGCTGGAGCCAGCAAGTTCAGTTTTTTAAACTTGAAACTATACCCATGTAAACTGAATACAGTTTAATTATACAGGTACTGTCTTTATAGATATTCATCAAACTGTACTTAAGCTTTATGTACTTTTCCTACGTGTTATAAATAAAAGAAGAACACATACTCACATACAATTTTAAAGGAAGTCAGAAACACGCATGCTCGTTCCGTGGGCATCGAGGGCCCTGGGGCTGAGGGGCCAGCAGCTGGCAGCCTTACCTGGGGTTGATCTCCAGCGTGGGCTGCAGAAGCTGAGCCCGCTCCTCCTGGGTCTTGGCCAGCTGCTGCATGCGCAGGAAGTGCCGGGCGGCCCCCATCTCCAGCACAGTGATCATAGCAGGGTGGGTGTCCAGTCGAAGAGTCACCTAACAAGCAAGGCCAGAGACCAGGGGTGAGGGAAGAGGCCTGGGGTGAGAGAGGGACCCAGGGGTGGGGGACCCTGGGTTGGTAGGTTGGTTGAAGCTTGCCCAGATGACAAGGCAGAAGAACGCAGGTCTCCAGGGACATACCCTCACAGACCTCCACCAGCGATGCCCCCTCTCCCTCCCAATCATCCACTAATGAGAAATGAGAAGGGAGCCTGAACTGCTGACCCACATGAAGACCCTGTTTAGGGACTCCTTCCTCTTCTACCCCTCAAAGGCACCAGTTTTGTAATGTATCAGTTACTATCCAAGGACTATCTTGCCTGGTGTTATCTGTACCTCTCTCCTCCATGGGGGCCACTGCCAAGTCATACAGCAACTGTCTAAGACCCTCTAGGACTGGCCGCTCCATCTCCCCAGGCCCCACACTGGTCCCAGCCTCCCTACAGGTCTGTCTGCAGTCCCTTCCCTCAATCCCATCCACCCCTCACCTGTTCTCTGGTGACTGTGTCTTTCTCTTGCAGCTCTGAGCTGGATCAGGTGGTTCCTAGCTCTCTGAAGCCCACCCCCAACTAAGAATCCAAGGCCTGGGGTTGAATCCTTATGTCCTCAGCCACTGCTGCTCCTCTGGTGCCTGGACCAAGACAGCTCTGGGGCAGCCAGCTGAGGACCCCTCTTCTCTGCTTCTACCTGTCCCCAGGCCCTCAGCTGTTTACCTTTCACTTTCCTGTCCTGGTTCCCAACTGCTCTGTAAAATGGAAGAAACAGGCCAGCCAAGCCTGCCTGCTTTGCCTCAGCAACACCCCTGGGCACACATGGCTACACACATTTGTGCGTGTGTGTGTGTGTATGCACACGCAGGAGTGGCAGTGACACCCCTGGTCTCCATATCATATCACGGCTTCAACCGCCACTGGGAGAATGCCCACCAGGCCAGCAACTCAGGAGCTGGCAGGCTGGCCAGCTGTATGGTCACTGAGGGCCACAGTGGCCAGGTGGTGGCCCATCTCCTGGAAGGCCTCACCTTCACATTGGTGACACGCGGCCCCAGTGCATTTCTCATCCAGGCCATCAGGTCCTCTGTCTCCTTCTCTGATAGGCGGTCACCAGCTTCAGGAGAAAAGAAGGGAGTGAGCTCAGAGGCTGTTCTCCACAACTCTCACCCCACATGCTCCACTGGGGGCCTGAAATGTGGACGGCCCAACACCGAGTTCCAAGCAGCCTATCTCCACCCTTTGCTGGCCACTGGCACAAAGACAGAAGCTACCAAAGATGCTTTTCATCTAAAACTAAGCAGATAGAATTGGACCTCAAAAAGGACACTTTTGGTTGGTTGCCTGAGGCCCATATAATTCTGTTAGGACTTTAAAAAGACAACTTCTGATTCTCTTAGAAAGCTTGATCAGTCTTAAGAAGCCAAGTTGGAAGGAGCATTGGAGAGACTGGATCTAAACAGGGAAACATTTTCCATTAGTCGTTAAGATGTTCCCAAAGCTTCCTTTCTGCAGGCTGGGGACCCCAGATACAAATGAGAAAAGAAAACCCCATATAAACCCACTGTTGCAGGACGGAAGAGGCCTTGCAGCAAACAGTGTCAGCCCCCAGGCCAGCCCCACCTTTGCTGGCACCTCATAGGCCACCACCCAAACACTGGCCCACGCTGGCCCCGTGTCCAGGGAGAAAGGAAGCAAGCCAACCTGGGGACGCGTCCTCAAACTTCTCCTCCTTGTAGTGATCCACGACGATGTCCGTTTCCACAGAGATCAGCTTCTTCTTGTCAAACTCACGAAGGTGGAGCAAGGTCAGCTCATCAAACTGCTCGTAGCAGAAGAGAACCTGTGAGGGCCCAAGAATGTTCCATCAGGCCTGGAGAGGTCTCCGCCAATGAGAGAGGAGAGGACATGAGATTGAGGGCTGAAGGCTGCAGGCTGGGCCCTGCATCCTGGAAGAGCCACACTGGGGATGCTGGGGCCTCCTAGGTCTTACTGAGAAGGTCGGTTTACCAGATGGTGCTGAGGGAGGCTCTGGCTATGTCTGAGCAGTAGAAACAGTGATTCTATTTATAGAGAAATTCCTGAAACTAGATGGCAAACTTAGGCCCCAGCCCCTGTGCCTCGGGACGCTGACTCACGCCACTTGGCTCTCTGGGATCTGAGGTACATTCAGACATTTTTCACTAAGCACAGAGACCCTCCTTCAGACCCCACCTTATCCTCTGACCTGGCCTCATGGGAAAGGACAAGTGTAGGGAGGCCTGGTTGGGGCTGAGCCCACCCTGTGGCTCACTCACCTCTGTGTTTTTCTGCTTCATGGCCTCATAGTAGGGCGAATGCTCAGCCAGATGCCGGTTGGGGGCACACAGGTAGTAGATGTTGCGGGTGCCGGCCCGCATGCGGCTGGCATAGTCCTGGAGACTGGTCAGCTGCCCAGCAGGCAGGGCGGAGGACTCGTATCGCAGCAGTTTCGCAATATCCTCCTGAAGACAGACAAAGGGCAAGGCACTGACTGTTACAGGTCCTTGCTCTAAAAGCCTCCCAATCAGCTGGGTATAGACTTTGGAAGCCTAGGGCCACAGCGAGGAAGGGCTCCGGCTGGCCTCACCCTTAGCTGGTGGACCCCACCATCTTCTACAGCCAAGGCAGTTCTCCTGGAAGCCTGGCCCAGAGATGGCTCTCTGGACTGGCTCGGCCCCTGGTGATTGTGGACTCTAGTGGTGTCCAGAAGGCCCCAGATTAAAAGTTCAGGGGACCTCAGAGAACACGTACCACCCCAAGTGGCACAGGGCCTCTTGGAGAGGGGCTTTCCGGGCAAGCAGTACACATGGTGTCCTAGGAGATTCCAGACCCTGTCCGTGGCAGAGACCGCTCCTGGACCCAGCGTCCTCACTCTATCCCTAGTCAGACCCTGCCTCTCGGCAGGGACGTGGACATGGGTATGAAGTCCACATTTCCCAGCCCTCCTCACAACCAGGGAACTAGTCCTGCCCAACGGGGTACAAGTGAAAGTGAGGTGTTTGACTTAAAGAACGGGCCCTTAAAGGAGGGGTGTGCCCTTCTCCCTCCTGTCGGCTAATATGCCATATGACTGCTGGAGCCACCTTGACTCCATGTGGGAGCTGTGTGGTAAGGACAGAGGAGCAGCAACAAGCTGGGGGCCTGGGTCCCTGACACCACCAGCCTGGACGTGTCCTGAGGTATAAACTCTGCCTCGTCTACGCCGCTGATTAATCTCCGACAATCACAGCACAGACAAGCAGTGGGGACACGAGGAAGGGCTGGGGAAGGTACCCAGAGGGCTAGGTCCAAATGAAAGAGTGACATGATGGAGATATAAATTGGACAGAAGACGGACAAACAGAGGCAAAACAAGGATCTGGGAGCGCACCTGGTGAGGCACGTTCTAGATTCAGACGCTAAGCTTGTGCTCATGTACGTATTATGGATCCTCATTACCAATCATGAATACACTAAGTGAGTTAATATTTTATAAAGCACTTAGAAAAGGCTCCAGCATGTAGCAAATACCACCTAGTGCTGTTGACCAAAAACACAATAAATGAGAATGAGTGGAGAGTTCATGCGGGCCGCACGAGGAGCTGCTGGAGGTTGCCGGCCGACCACCAGGAGGGAGGAGAGCCCAGGGAAGAGTCAACCTGAAGCCTTGGCACCCCAGTCCCACCCTCTCCCACTGCCTGAAGAACAAGCCCAGATGTTGGGTCACCCTCCCTCCTTGCTGCGGTTCTGGAGCAAAAGATGAAATCTCAGCCCTGGCAGAGACTGCTCAATGGGGATGGGTGCCTTTTTGGGGTGATGAAAATGTTCTGAACTACATGGCGGTGGTTGCACAACTTGCGAATGTACAAAGTGCTACTGAACTGTTCACTTTAAAAGGGTGAATTTTATGGTATGTGAATTATGTCACGATTTTAAAACAACCAAAAAATATTTATGGAATGATCACATCATTTTTAAGTAATTAACTGGGCAATTAACTGAACTCCAGGCGCAGTGGCACAGTGTTAAAGGATTTCTACCAATCATACAATGAACGTACTCTGACTACACACACTGCCTGCCCTTCTCCACCCCTGTGAACCAGGTACCTCACCCCGTCCCCTGCCTTCTGTGATTTCCCAAGCCCCCTGAACCCTTGTGGGAAGAGATAGAGTGCATGCCTACCTCCTTCCAGCCTCAGGGCTAGAGGACTGGAGGGAGATGAAGGATAAGACAAGGACACTCCTGAGCATAGTGCCAGACCTGCTGCGTCCACCAGCACAGGTCCAGAGGCCAAATGTCACATTTATGATCCCCAGGCAGCAGTGGCTGGGGCGCCTGGCTGTGCCATCATCATGTCTCGGGAAGCTCAGGTTTCTGGCCTCCACCAGCTTCCTCCACAGCCTTAGGGCCAAGGCAGCCCAGAGAAAGGCCCAGAAAACCAGACCCTACCTTGACCTCCTGCTCAGCGGTGGTCACAATGCCCTCCCTCATGAACAAGCCGTAATCTTCAAAAAACTTGGCATATTTCTCAGCATCTTTTTTACTCTGGTCAATGAAGAATTTTATTAGTCTCTGCTGTAGAACGTCTCGGAGTTTCCTACAGAACAGAAATGCATTTGTCATGAACAGGCCACTTTTATGAAATACCAGTGGTCAGAAGGATATGAAAAAACATTCAGCCCAACTAATAATCAAAGAAAGAAAACAACAACATACCATTTTGGCCAAACTAAAAAAGATGAAGCAGAAAGAGTGACCCTTAGCAAACATCAGTTAGGAGGGACATGCTCCCTAGGGGCGATAATGTGAATCGACACCCCCTTTGTGGAAAGTAACAAAGAGCCCAGCCTTGATTGTCCCAATCATAGAGATTACACCTTAGGAAATATCATGAGTCACTAAGATTTACGGTCCAGGATTTCACTGCAGCACATAAAATAGAAAACAGTTATGAACAACCTCGGTGTTCGACAGGAGAATACGCTGAGATGAACGATGGAATACTGCATGACCATTAAAAATCACATTCTCTAAAGATCCTTAATGACATGAAAAAATGCTTGTGTTGAAGGAAAAACCAAAGAAATCTTAATATGGATAAATTACAGTGAACATACAGTATACATGTGTGCAAAGACTATATATACTACCTCCTGTATGTTATAATCTTTCACGAGTAGGATCAATATCGTATACACAGTATGTACACTATAACTTGGGTTTATACTGAATATACTATATGCACACTACAATGTTACAAAATTGGGGTTTTGTGGATGAGTGTGCTTACTGCAGCATTACATGAGGGCATAAAATTACAGGCAACTTTATTGGTGAGATTCAGGATTTTGTACTTCCTTCTTAATATTTTGCCTTTCCTTTAAAAAAGTGAAATAACCACGTATTTCCTCAATAATCCAGGACAGGAAAGCAATAATGTTTAACATTCATTTAAGTTTTCCCTCTTCCATTCCCATCCCGAGCAACTCAGTCCTTCAGGAACAGGGCAGCACTGGCACCTGTGTCGGGGGACCCAAAGCAGCTAGGACAGGACACAGAGCCCCAGGAGGGAGTCCAGGCAGGGCTGGGGTTGGGGGGCACCTGGTGTGGAGTGTCAGAGCCCAAGGGCCCCAGAGAAGGACATCTAAGCTGGGGGTAGTGGGCAACCCACTGTGTGGAGTCAGAGCCCAAGCAGGTGAAGGGGATACCCACGTGGAGGGAGGGCAGCAGCAATGGCAGACTAGTTACATGGAGGGAACTGGTCAAAGGCAAACATATTAAGGACCATGAGAGGCAGATTTCTCACTGTCAAAGGAAGCAAACACGGAAAAGGCAAGACTAGCATGTCCTGGTGGTGCCGGCTGGTACTGGAGGGATTGGGGGAACTCAAGGGTTACAGAAACAAGTATGGATGCAGAAAGACACACACACATCAACATACACACACATGCACATCTCCCTTAGCTCTGTCTCCTAAGAGAGCCTGGGAGAAGCAACAGCCCAACAGCAATGGCATCCCTGGTCCCAGATCTTGGCTCTTAAATACCACTCTCCATTCAAAGGAACCAGGGGTCCTTGGAGGAATGAGTAATTTCAGGCTTAAGAAAAGATGTAGGCAAAATACAAGGTGAGCCTGGAACATCATGTGCCAGAAGTGAGGAAGCCAAAAGCATGACGGGGACATGACCCCTGACTGGGCCCCGCTGGCTAAATCAGGGACAGTCTGGGCATCAATATAATGACAGTAACATTACAATCCACTGAACAAAACAGTTATTCATTCAAGAAATTCAGAAGTCAGTTCTTACAAATAAATTATAAAGATTAAAAATATAGATATTGGGGCCAGCCTGGTGGCGCAAGTGGTTAAGTGCGCGCGCTCTGCTGCAGCGGCCCAGGGTTCGCCGGTTCGGATCCCAGGCACGCACCGATGCACTGCCTGTCAAGCATGCTGTGGCGGCGTCCCATATAAAGTGGAGGAAGATGGGCATGGATGTTAGCCCAGGGCCAGTCTTCCTCAGCAAAAAAAGACTGGCAGATGTTAGCTCAGGGCCGATCTTCCTTACACACACACACAAAATATATATATATATATATATATATATATATATATATATAATAAGTAGATAAATGAATACATTCAAAGTTTGATGAAGAACTAGCTGCAAAATACCACCCCACGTACAAAGTATTAATTACAAAGAGGAAAACAGTAACTTCACACAGAGAACGCCCGCAGACACCTCCTTACTCAAGTACCAATGTGAACATCACCAGTAACAGGACAGCTCAAGGTCAGGCCCCACCTGACGGGATGCAGTCACTTCATGCTATTCCTGCACCTAACCATGAAGAGCGTCAGACATAACCCATGAGGGACATTCTATAAAATCAGTGGCCTGAAGTCTACAGAAGCACCCAAGTCATGAAAGTCAGGAACCGACTGTGGAACTCGGCCAGCCTGAAGGAGGCTAAAGAGACACGACAACTAAAGGCATGTGTGACTCTGGACCGGACCTTCTTACTCCCAAGAACATGGCGGGACGTGAATGCGTCTGAGGATTAGAGGGTGGCAGTGCTGCACCATGTCAACTCCCTGATGTGGATGGCTGTACTGGAGCTAGGGAGGAGAATGTCCTTGTTCATTGCAAATACATCCTAAGATATTTGGGGAAGATGGGGCATCAGGAAGACAACATACTCTCAAAGGGTTCAGGGGAAAAAATGTACTTGATATCATGTTTCCACCGTTTCTGTAAATTTATGATTCTTTCAGATTCTTTCTTTTTGCTCTTGGCTCCTTCCAGCCCGCCTGGGCCTTGTCTTCAGCAGGGGCCCAAATCCCATCCCTTCCTTGGCAGCTTACCTGATTAGAGCACTCTCCTGGAGGAGCTCCCGGCTGAGGTTCAGAGGGATGTCTTCGCTGTCCACCACACCTTAGAGAGACACAGGGTCGTCAGAAACCCCACCGTGCCCGCAGCCGTCCCCCTCCCCGCCAGGCCTCCACATTCTTCTTTGCAGTCCAACATGAAATCAGACGACGACATGAAATCAGACAACGTGTGGGTAAGAGGGAAGCAGAGAAGGGCAAGGGGAGGAAACTCAGTGGGGCCACACCTCCTGAACTCCCTCTAAGTCCTGCTGGTGTCCTAGAATGTACACAGTCTAGGACATAAAACACGACTGGAAGAAAAGCAGACAAGGCCGGCGAGCCTTTCCAGGGAACAGCTTCTAAGATTTCAGCATCAGTTCAACATTCTGAAAACCACTTCCTGGATTTTACGTTCAAAATCATAAATATATCGTGGATATTTTACACCTTTGTGTGCTAAAATGATCAACGTTTAAATGCTGAAATCTCTATTAAACTATAATCTCACTCAAATTCAAGGCAATTCATGTATAAACCTTAAACTCACGTAATATCCTTAAACATTAAAAAAACTCAATTTAAACGACCCCCCATCAACCCCAAATCAACCAACACTAGCGTTTGGAGGCAGGAAACTTCCCTGAAGGCTCTGAGCTGCTTCCTTCGGCCGCTCTATGGGTACATCCTGCTTACCCAGCCAGCAACTGTGGCTGCTCGCCCTGACCCCGTACTCTAGTTAAAGATGAGCTCTTACTAACGCGGTCAGCACGCCAGGCTGCGTGCAGGGAGCTGCTCACAGTCCTGGGGCTACAGCGCTTCAGCCCACACAGTTGAGCGCCGGCATCTGCACTATACCTCGAATGAAGCGCAGCCACTTGGGCAAGACATCAGTGGCCTTGGTCTGGATGAGGACTTTTCGGCTGTACAGTGCAACACTGGAGCCCAGCTCCCGGCTCACATCAAACATGGATGGTTTCTGGGGACAAGGAAAGAGCAATGGCAGGTGGCAACGCAGAAACCCACATCAGCTGCAAGGAGGCAGAACCTGCAAGGTCATGGGGAAGCTTTGACAACGATTCTGAGAACCACCCTTCCCCGGGCTGGCGCCGGACTTGGAGTTGTGGGCTGCATGTGTGGTGATCCAGAGGAAGAGGGAGGCCAGAGGAGACCACGCTCTGCCCATGTCTGTCTGTTCAGAAACCCAAAGCCCAGGAAGGACCCCCACACAACACCTCTGTGGGGACGGAGGGAGGGGGCCTTCTCTGGGCAGCTGCCACCCTCCCTATTCTGCTTCCCTGGAGGATATAAAAAAGGAAGTCTTGTATGTCCCCATGAACAAACCTGCTAGGGGTCAGGGGTCAGCAAACTACAGCCCACAGGCCACATCCAGCTCACTGCCTGTTTTACGCAGCCTAGAATGGCTTTTCCATTTTTTAAAAAGTTGAGGAAAAAAAGCAAAATAAGAATATTTCATGATAGGTAAAAAATACATGAAATCCAAATTCCAGTGTCCATAAAGTTTCCTGGAACACAGCCAGGCTTGTTGGGTTAGGTGCCATCTACAGTGCAGTCACACTACGATGGCAAAGTTCTGTGGTTGTACATGGCCCGCCAAGCCCTAACGAGTCACTATTTGGCCCTGCACAGAAATGCCTGCCAATCTCTGCTCTAAACCAGTGCTTTGCAAACTGCGGTTTACAGATACGTCACATGGAGATCTTGTCAAGATGCAGACTCTGATTCAGGAGGTCCAGGGGCAGGGGCCCAAGATTCTGCTTTCCTAACAAGTTCCAAAAGACGCTGGTGCTGCTGGTCTGCAGAGCACACTCAGCAGGGAGGGTCTAGAATAGCTCTTTCCAAAATGCATATCAATAGATGTGGGGCGTTAAGAGGACTCCAGCCAAATAAAGCCAGGAACAGGTTTCTCTGTTGTGGGATCCAGAAGAGCTTTTGCTGTGCTCCTGTGAGCCAGGAAGTCTGAGAGGACAGCAGAGGTATGGAGAGTGCACCCACTCATCTGAGCACTGCAGAACCCTGTTCCAGCACACAGCTTGGGAACATGCTGCCTGCAGACACAGGAGACACAGTGGGCTGCTCTGGGGGCCCTCCCAGCAGGTACCCTGAACCAGCACCCTGGTCCACAAAAGCCCAGGCTCACATAGCTAAACGTCTCTGTTCCACCCCAAGAGATGGCACATAAAACACTCTCACTTTAAAACTGTGTTCACCCATCCAGAGGCATAGGATTTTCTTTTTCTCTGATGCTACCAAGTTAATTTTTGTGATATATGTGCTGAACTGTCACTGCTGCTGGAAAATGCTGTCACCATGGGGGAAGCCCCCTGTCCAAGAAGCAGCGGACAAGCCACTTGTAGCCCCAGCACGCTGAGGGCCCACTGGGTCTGCGGCAGGGCTCACCGTTTCCGGCACATAGAAGATGCTGCGGATGTTGAGAGGTGCGTCTGTCCTGTAGTGCAGGGTGTAGCGGGGCTTGTCATGGGCCTGAGCAATGTAGCGGTAGAACTCCTCTTGCTGCCACTCGCCCACAGCCTTGGGGTCCATCATCCAGATGGCCTGGAAATGGAGATTAATGGTGGATATTATGTTTAAGATTCGTCCTCCTAACAACTGTGCGAAGCTGAGCTGGTGGAGCTCATGGCACCTGGGTGCTGCTAACTGTGCTCTCAGGACAACTCGAGGCCTCTTGGGACAGACAGGGCAGTGGTCTCAGGTGCAAGCCCCTCCCTCCACCTCCAGTCCCACCCACTCCAGTGCTAAGGGGTGGGAGGTCTCAGAATGGATGAATGAGAGAGCCCCCCCACAAAGAGAGATACACAAAAAGCTCTGGAAACAAGTGCCCCCTCCCCAGTACATATGTCAGGAAGGGCCAACCAGCAGGCAGGATCTGGATGTGCCTGTACAGACCATGAACACTACCATCAACAGGTGAATGGATAAAGAAACATGGTTTAGCCGTATGATGGAATATTACTCAGCCATAAAAAGGAATGGAGCGCTGATACATGTTACAATGTGGATGAACCTCAAAAACATTATGATAAGAAGCCAGGGGTTGGCCCAGTGGCGCTAGCAGTTGGGTGCGCACGCTCCGCTGCAGTGGCCTGGGGTTCGCCGGTTCAGATCCCGGGCGCACACTGACACACCGCTTGTCAAGCCATGCTGTGGTGGCATCCCACATAAAGTGGAGGAAGATGGGCATGGATGTTAGCCCAGGGCCAGTCTTCCTCAGAGAAAAGAGGAGGATTGGCAGATGTTAGCTCAGGGCTGATCTTCCTCACACAAAAAAAAAAAAAAAAAAAAAAAGCCAGACACAAAAGGCCACATAGTATATGATTCCATTTATATGAAATGTCCAGAACAGGCAAGTCTATAGAGACAAAAAGTAGATGAGTGGTTGCCAGGGACTGAGGGGAGGGGTTTGGGGAGTGACTCCTAACAGGTGCAGGGTTTCTTTTTGGAATGATGAAAATGTTCTAGAATTGACTGTGGTGATGGCTGCATGACTCTGTGAATACACTAAGTACTACTGAACTGTATGCTGTAAAAGGGTGAACTATATGGTATGTGAATTACACCTGGGGCATGTGGACGGGGTGCAGAGAAGTGGACCCTGCCTGTACCCACAGATCTCACCTCTCCACAAAGAACACCTTGTGCTGGGATCTTGACAGCATCGCCCAGTCCCCCCTCTGTCTGTCCAGCCCCAAAATGTACAGACTGGTCTCCGTGGCTGCCTGAGCCCTTCAGGCAGCTGAGGGTCTCACCTGCAAAGTATTAAGGCGCCTTCCATTAAGGTACAAGGGGAAGCTGACAAAGTTACTGTACTTTGTTACCACATCTGGAAGAGATAAAAGAAAAACAACAATGAATACAGGAAACTTCTCGAAATGAAAGTTCTGGAAGCTGACGCGGGGTGACACAGCACACTAAGGGAGGGCTCGTCAGTGCTGTGCCTGTGTCACAGGTCGGAAGCCAGGGCACAGCAGGGATACCGGCCTGTCTGGCACACAATGAGCAGAACTCACATCAGAACCAGATGTCTTGAGGCCCAGGTCACCGTGAGACCACATGCCTTCTTAGTGGCATAAATAAGGTTTTATGAGCTAACAGTGAACCCTGGAGAGCACTTTTGATAAGCACTTACTAAGACTGAGAATGCACTTACTAAGACAGAGAAAACCACCACATAGATGTGCCCGCTCTGGGTCCTGGTGAAGCCTGGGCTCAGGCTGGCTAGGCAGGTGAGCCAGCGACATCTCACAATATAGGCAGGACGAGGAAAGGACTGTGTACAAGCACCAAGTGCACTGAAGACAGGGCAGCGTCCCAAGAGAGGAAAAGAGAACACAGCCTGACTACGCCAGCAGTCGGGAGGCCAAGTCTCGCCACCTGGTGCCGCACACGGAGTCAGCAGGGATTCTATGCTAGGTGGACCTGGGCAGCCAACCCCAGGAAGCCCCGGTCATCCCACTCTATTCCAGCCTGCGGTCCTGGAGCTGCCCAGCACCCCCCCACTCTGCCCCTGCATCCTCCACATGCCCCCACACCCAGACAGCAGGAGAAGCCTCCCTAATCCGGTGCCACCACACAAAAGTCCCCAGAGGCCTAGGCTCCACTCACCTCGAACCCGGGCCTCGCTGGCAAACTCTCTGCTCTCTGACTTGAGGTGGATGATGATTTTGGTTCCGGTTCTAACTCCTGAGGCTTCAGCGATTTCAAACACCCCAGAACTAAGATGCAGGGGAAAAAGAAAGCCAGTGCCACACATCGCTGCTGACAGACCCCACACGGCAGATGCATTCACTGTTCCTTGGGATTTTCACAAGCAGAGCCCAAACCAATGCAGAGAGTGGGAAGCCAGAGTGCCACCATTTCTGAACTCAGCCGAGCTCCCAGGCCACCAAATCTCCATCAAGGACAGTGGCTACTGCGGTGGGGTCAGGGCTCTCCTGCTCCCTCAGGTTGTCCCCTCCCGCTCACAAGCACAACCTCTCAGCCTTTCTATTCCCCTAAAGCAGGCCAGGGTGCTGCACCAGATACTGGGAGGAAACAGGCAGAGGCACAGAGACCGCCCCTAACTCCCGTGTTAACTCCATGCGTTTCTGAACCTCTGGCAGGGGCCAGGTTCCTCCTTACAAGGGCAGAGAAACCATTTCAGAAGTACAAGAGGAGAGGATGCACCCCCAACAGGGGCCTTGTCGGTATCTCAGCTCAAGTTTATTCCGAGCACTGCTCTCATGGAGTAAAAGAGAAACTTTAGTTTTGACCAAGGGAGATGAGCTGTGCTCCAGCCAGGCCTCCTCTCCCCATGAGCTGCTAGAACCGCAGTGGCAGACAGGAGACTTGGCCGGGAAAGCAGGATTCAGAAATGAAGCTTTTTGGGGCCGGCCCCGTGGCTTAGCAGTTAAGTGTGCACGCTCCGCTACTGGCGGCCCAGGTTCAGATCCCGGGCACACACCGACAGACCGCTTCTCCGGCCATGCTGAGGCTGCGTCCCACATACAGCAACTAGAAGGATGTGCAACTATGACATACAACTATCTACTGGGGCTTTGGGGAGAAAAAGGAGGAGGATTGGCAACAGATGTTAGCTCAGAGCCGGTCTTCCTCAGCAAAAAGAGGAGGATTAGCATGGATGTTAGCTCAGGGCTGATCTTCCTCACAAAAAGAAAAAAAAGAAATGAAGCTTTGGGGCCTAGTGAAATAAGGTCTTAAATTTGGCTAAGGGACCATTCTCCTCAAATACAGTCTCAGGATTTTCCTGGAACATCCACCTGACCAGAACTAAGATGCAGGGTGAGACACAGCCCCCAGGGCAGGTGAGAACAAAACAAGGTCTTTGAGAGGAAGCTCCTCGGCCAGCTGGCAGGGGAGGTGGGGGCAGAAACTTCAGGGTCGGGAGAACTCAGGAATGAACTCCACAGAACAAAGTCCAGGGAAGCTGCCCCGTGCAAGGGGGCACCCAGTGAACAGATGGTCCTGAAGCCAAACCATTGACAAAAGAGCCCCGCCTGGGACGGGCCACACTCCAGAGCACAACTACTGGAACCCAACGAAAGGGGACCTACAGAGACAGCAGGGCCATTGGGAGCAGAAGAGTAACTGGCTTCCTAGAGCGTGAGGTTCAGGCTTCACAGGCTTCACATAAAAAGCCCAGGGGAGCCTGTAGGCATTTTCTGAGAAGAGGCTAACTTTCCAAAAGAAGTGGTAATGCTTCAGCTGAATCCCACTCTGACACTTGGCTGCGGTGGCCCCAGGGCACAGGGACACACTCTGTATGTGAAGTAGGGGCCCTGCTCTCACTTACCCGTCTGAAAGCCACTGGTAACCACGGCTGTCTGGGCCCACCGAACGGGAATAGACCTCGACTCTGTCGGCCACCATGAAAGCTGAGTAGAAACCCACTCCGAACTGGCCGATGATCTTGCTGCTGGCCTCGGCCTGGCTCTGCAGCGCATCCAGGAAGGCCTGTGGTGGCGAAGGCTGGTCAGAGGGAAGGTGTCCTCTTCCCCAGAGAGAACTGACATTTGTGACTCCCTGTGTTCATTCCTCTAGCACAAGCTAAGTTCTCAATTAATCCTCAAGACAACCACACTAAGTACTTTTTCACCCATTTTACACACGGAGAACTTCAAAGAGCGGTGAAGTGATTTGCCCGAAGACCCCCAGCTGGGCAGCAGTGAGACTGGGTCTACATGTGACTCGAGCCCGTAACCCTGCCTGTCACACACCCAGGCGTGGGGAAGCGACAGCCTGAGTGAGTTCACACATCCACCCTGCAGAAAGGAGTGGAGCGACAGCTTTTCGGCTGGGGCGGCCTGTGAAGCTCAGCAGGTGAAGGGAGAAGACTCCTAAATGTGACTTCTGTGTGTCTCCTAGATTCTAAGCTTCATAGGAAAACGGGACATACCAAGTACCTGCTTTTGTATAGGATTACAAGGCACTTAATTATTATAACTCATATTATCAAAGCTCCTAAGATTAAAAATGAAGTAAAATGCACATACTCAACGCTATGAACACTGTCCCACAGAACATTCTGCAATGATGGAAATGTTCCATATGGTTCAACACCACAGCTGCTGACCACATTTGGCTATTTGGCACTTGAACTGTGGCTAGTGCAACCGAGGAACTAAATTTTAAATTTAATTAATTTAAATTCAAACAGCCACTATGAGACAGCACAGACTTTTCTCGATAGAAATACAACTAAAAATGTAACGTGGGGAAAAAAAATAACAGTTAAGGGTAAAGCAGTTTTTTGAAAGTAGAAATTCCTGTGAATCACTTTAGACCAACAAGTAGACTATTTTCAAGCACTTGGTGCAAATGCCATTTTAGGCACCACTCAGGCCCACAAAAACAACCAAACAAAAAGCAGGTGGTCACCAGCAGAGGCAAAGGCAGCCGAGGGCCATTGGCCTTAGTCTTGGGCTGGTACAGACGCCGCTGGAGGAGGACACCTGACCACCAACGCTTATCTCCTCTCCATAGGCTTCAGGTCACACCAGCAACCAACCCTCATGGCCGCTTCATCTCCACAGAGGGGTTGTGACAAGAACCATCCAGCCTGCAGACATCACAGGCCAAGCTTATTCTTGTGAATTATGTTGTCTGAAAGGAGGAAGGACATTCTTCTCTGCTGACCTTCTCTGCCTCAAACCTATGCAGCTCAAGGAATCACTGAGAAATGACTTGGAGAATGGCATATTCTCCAAGGAGAATGGAGGCAGAATGGACAGGAGGCAGAATGGCATATTCCAGACTCCAACTGACGGGCTCTGAACTAGGGTCAGCCAATTTCTAGATATGGATGAGGTACTCATGTCAGGCTCTTCATCTATAAAATAACAGAAACTACCTCAGAGGTCCCTGTGATGATATAATGAAGTCATGTCATACAGCCTTCCCACAGTGCCAACACAGAGCTTGCACCTGAGAACATTCCTATTGAATGAAGCTGGCATCCAGAGTGTGCTGGAACCTACTCTCTCCAGTCACAGCTGCCTTTCAAGGAGAGATCCTCGCAGCCGAGGAAGGGGCTGTGGAGGACTCACCTTTGACCCGGACCTGGCGATTGTTCCCAGGTTGGACACCAACTCTTCTTGTGTCATCCCGATGCCTGTGTCCTGAGGAGAGAGGCACACTAAGCACTGGCACCTGAGGAGCTGCGATGACAGCCCCTGGGTGCAAGTGGCATCAACTACACTTGCCAGGCAGGGCCCACAGGGTCATCAGAAAAGACTAATTCTAGTCCTATCAACCAGGCCTCACTAGAGGACAGACACACAGATCAAAGAGACAAAACAGAGTCCAGAAATAGAGAGGCACAGATAGTGTCACTTGATTTTTGACAAAGGTTCCAAGATAATTCAGTGAGGAAAGGAAAAACAAATGTGCTGAAACATCCAGAGAGCCTCATGCAATAAACAATCTCAACCTTGCCTTACACCAGACACAAAACTGAATTACTCACCTAAATGTAAGAGCTAAGACTATAAAACTTTTAGAAGAAAATGTAGGAGAAAATCTTTATGACTTTGGAATAGACAGAAATTTCTTAGGTCACTAAAAGGACAAAGCATAAAAGAAAAAAGTGATAAACTGGACTTCATTAAAATTAAAAACTTCTGCTTTTCAAAAGCCACCACCAAGAAAATCAAAAGGCAAGCCACAGGGGCAGGCCTGGTGGCATAGTGGTTAAGTTCGCGCACTCCGCTTCAGTGGCCAGGGGTTCACAGGCTCAAATCCCGGGCGTAGACCTATGCACCACTGATCAAGCCATGTGTGGCGGCATCCCACACATAAAATAGAGGAAGATGGGCACAGATGTTAGCTCAGGGCTAATCTTCCTCACCAAAAAAAAAAGCAAGCTACAGACTGGGAGAAAATATTTACAAAACATATATTTGATATAGGACTTATATCTAGAATATATAAAGAACTCTTAGAACTCAATAAAAAAACAAAGAACCTGATTAAAAATGGGTAAAAACTCTGGACATTTCACAAAGAAGATATATAAATGGCAAAAAAAAAAAAAAAAACACCACACGTGAAAAGATGTTCAATACCATTAATCATTAGGGAAATGCAAATTCAAACCACAACAAGATTCACTGCTCACCCGCTACAATGGCTAAAATTAAAAAGACTGACAATAACAAGTGTTGCTAAGGATGTGCAGCAACTGGAATTCTCGTATGCTGCTAAAAGGAGTGCAAAATGGGACACCCACTTTGGAAAAGTTTGACAGTTTTCTTATAAAGTTAAATAGACACTCACCTTATGACCCAGCAATCCCACTCCTAGGTATTTCCTCAAGAAAAACAAACACATACGTCCACACAAAGACTTCAATTCAAATGCTCACAGCAGCTTTATTCTGAACATCCCCAAACTGAAAACAATCCAAATGCTCATCAACTCATGAATGGATACACAAATTGTGATACATCCACCCAACAGAATTCTTTTCAGTGATAAAAAGGAACAAACTACAGATACACAGAGCACCACGGATGAATCTCAGAAGCATTATGTTAAGTGAAAGAAGTCAGACTCAGAAGACTATCAACCATGCAATTCTGTTCATATGAAATTCTAGAAAATACAAAACCATAATGACAGAAAACAGATCAGTGGTTGCTAGGGGCTGGTAAGGGGGGAGGGAACACTGGGGGTGATGACATCATGATAGTATAGGTGGTTACATGAATGTGCACATTGGTTAAAACTCATTGAAATTGTACACCTGAACTTGGTGAATTTTGTTGTATGTAAATCATACTTTAGTAAAGCTTATTAAAACAACAACAGCAACAAAGAAAGGCACACACACACCCAGACCAGAGAGAATGAATGAACAGAGAGCACAAGAGACACCCTATAGCAAAGTCTTGAGCAGTGAACCAGCTTACTTGGTAGAGGCAGGAAGCCCAAAGGAAAAATGCCCTCAGAGCCCACTGAGGCGCTTCTTCCTCTTCCACAGAGACGCACACCCCAAAATTCTACTCATGTCCCTGGGACGATAGGCCCTGAAGCAGTTGTCTCGGGAACATAATGTCTCTCGGGGCCGCTGCCTCATTAATCTCCTTTTGCCTTTCTAACTTTTTGACCTTAAAATTTTCAAAAGATTACAATAGCAACCAAAAGTACTGCTTTCTCTAAGGCAAGACTGTTAACCCAAACAGTGGGATGAGATTAAAAATAGTACCACAGGCGGCGGGCCTGGTGGTGTAGTGATTAAGTTTGTGTGCTCCGCTTTGGCAGCCTGGGGTTGACAGGTTCAGATCCCAGGCACAGACCTACTCACTGCTTATCAAGCCATGCTGTGGCAGGCGTCCCACATATAAAGTAGAGGAAGATGGGCACAGATGTTAGCCCAGGGCCAATCTTCCTCAGCAACAAGAGGATTGGCAACAGATGTTAGCTTAGGGCTAATCTTCCTCACCAAAAAAAAAAAAAAAAAAAGCACCACAGGACATTTAATAACATGGGGAATTATACATAACAAAGGGAAAAGTACAGTTAAAAATATGTTTAGATACGTACATAAATGCATAGACACCAAAAACCTAAATGGACATATGCTAAAATGTCAACAGTACGGGGCCAGCCCTGTGGCATAGTGGTTAAGTTCGCATGCTCTGCTTTGGCAGCCTGGGTTCACAGGTTCAGATCCTGGGCGTGGACCTACACCACTCGTCAGCCATGCTGTGACGGTGATCCACATATAAAGTGGAGGAAGACTGGCACCAACGTTAGCTCAGGGCTAATCCTCCTCAAGCAAAAAAAGAGGAAGACTGGCAATGGATGTTACCTCAGGGCTAACCTTCCTCAGGAAAAAAATGTCAACAGTATCTTTGAATGATGGGGTGATTTTAAATTTTCTTCTTTTCTACTTACCTGTGTTTTCCAAATTTTCTATATTGAATCAGTGTTATTTTTACAGTAAATTACAACAAGAAAGAAAAAGAGTTACTGTAACAGTAAAGATGGTCAGCACATCACCTGGGGCCTAGAGACATAACAAAAAGGCAGATCATTCTCCTCTGTCCCAGTGTGTGAAGAGGGCTGCTGCCTACAGGCCTTTCCCAGTCACCTCTGCGACTAGCGCTGGCACCAGCACAAGAGGCAAGGAGGCGTGCCACACGTCAGGACACTTAGGAGGAGGTACCTGGATCGTGATGGTGCCTTTCTCCGAGTCAGTCTGCAAGTGAATCTCCATTTCTGACAGCGTTTGGCCTTCAGACACCAGCTTGTGACGCAGTTTTTCCAAGGCATCGCTAGCGTTGGAGATTAGCTCCCGTATAAACACCTACAGGAATGGATATAAGATGTTAACTGAAGGATCTATTTGGTTAGCAGCATTTGCAGCAACTGTTAAAAGTCGGGGGGAAGGGGCCAGCCCCGTGGCGTAGCAGTTAAGTGCGCGCACTCCGCTACCGGCGGCCCGGGGTTCGGATCCCGGGTGCACACGGATGCACCGCTCGTCAGGCCATGCTGTGGCGGCGTCCCATATAAAGTAGAGGAAGATGGGCATGGATGTTAGCCTAGGGCCAGTCTTAGTCAGCAAAAAGAGGAGAATTGGCATGGACATTAGCTCAGGGCTGATCTTTCTCACAAAAAGAAAAAGAAGTGGGGGGGAAAGCGCCACAGAATATTCAGTTTTTTAACCACAAAGACTTTCTGCTTTATTCAAAGGTAGTCTCTCCAAGGCAGGTCACAAAATGATTAAAAGCGGATCGCTTCTCCCTGACACAGCTTTATGGAGTAGACTCCACTGCTCCTTCATGAAAATCAAGCCTGAACTTAAGTGTCAATCTGTTAACTCAAACTTTAAGAACTCTCTGAGAGACCACTTCTTTCCCAACTCTTGCCCAGAGATGACAAAAGACCCCTCAAACATCTGTTTCTCCTACTCCATGAAGAAAGGTTCTCTGGCTTCCTTTAATCTAGTGGGGATTATCCAAGACCAGACCTACACGTTCAGAAGAAAATACGGCCACAGGCCCAATTACCAACCAGTGTCTGAAAAGCACTGTTACCTCAAAGAGACCTTCTACTCACAGTGAGATGCAGCACACAGGTGAGGGGAAGGGGTGGGGCGATCTGACTCCAACAGAACAGAAGCTGGACGTCACAGGGACACCTAGTATGGTATTTAACAGCACAAGACCTGGAAATATTTCCTGAAAAGTCCCTTTAACTCTGGAATTTTGTGCTTTGCCCTTCTTCAAAATTCTTCTTTGCATTCTAGCAATAATGAGCACGGAAACGATGATGGCCTATTTGTACTCTACTTTTTCCATGGTCTGTCACCCCTAGATGAGTTTTAATCTCCTCAAAAAGGTCCCTGGTAGCTTCTACCCGCTCTCCTCCACACAGGGCCAGGCGATCTTCCTCCTCCAGCCCCAGCGCCCCCACTAGACCCTGAGTGGTTATGCCAGGTGACGGGGCCAGGTGACAAGGTGAGTAAACATAGGGCCTCAAGAAATATATTGACAACAGCACAGAAATAGATCTCAGAGGGCCCCCATGCCAATACCTGGGGGACTTTTAAATTACAGCAAAATTCATTAATTCCCAGAGTCAATCTGGCTCAAAGAATCATCTGGATATATTTGTCCATGAAACCCAAACAAATTTTGGTAAAAATACTCTCGCTGGTAGCTAGGATTGGGACTTATCCAAACTTAATGCATTCTCACAGCTAATATACTATCTGGCATTTCCCCAGAATAGTATAAAAATAGTTTTGCCAAAAGAAACCTTGCTAATGCTGGGAGTGATTAACAGGTACCGCACCTCTTTTTCTGAGTACAAGGAACAGGCAACAATGTCCAGAAGCTTCTTTGTCTCAGCCTGGAATTCATGTTTGGAAACGGAACCTAGTAATGAATCACAGACACACCAATAAAGTTTCATTTCTATTTTCGTGGAAGAATACGCTATGGAACATTCAGAAGAATGTTTAAGGTAATGAGTTTTAAACATTTTCCAAGAGTGAACAAAAAAGAAAGAAAGAAACCAAGTCTCTGGGGCCCTCAGGCAGGAGGTCACAGGGGCAGAACAAACCAAGTGGGTCCCCTCTCTCTCCACAGAAAGGGTGAAGGGGAACCTCCCCTACCTCCCACTGCTGAGGCCTGCACGTCTTGGGTCTGGGGTGCCTTGAAGGACTGTGGAGGTTGGCAGGTCCCAAAGTGTCTGGTCGTGAGAACCGGGGCTTCAATAACCAGACCCTGGATTCTATTCTTCCAAACAGTGGTTTCCAAATTAATTACTCAGAAAGAAAAATAACAAGAAAACCTCACTTCTCTTCTTAACCTCAACACCAAAGGTTCTGTTGTCTCATTTGAAAGCCAGAAACAGACCCACTTCAGGACTGGCTCCGAAGACTGCTTCTCTGTAGTTCTTAGGAACGAAAGGACAACTTCACAAAGCAGTCCTGCAGTGCCAGGGCCAATACTGAGTTTACATCCCGCTCCATGATTATTAGCAGATGTGCCATGAATCACCACTGAGAAGGTGCCCCGTAGCAAACTCTCGGGTGACCACCAGAGGGAGCATGAAACACCACAATGGAGGTCAGAAGTTCCTCGTGAAGACGGAAACGGAGGATGCATTGTTTTGGGGGACCCTCCCTCCAACCAAAACCTTCCTTCGTTTGAACCAAGTGGGTGGCTCTATCAATCACTGCTTCTACCTCAAAAACTGCCCCCCATGAGCCAGCAACGAGCTAAGATTTCCCAGACCCCAAAGTGGCTGAATACAGCACCCTGCACGGTCTCTGTGCTGCTAATGATGGAGTGCAGGGGCTCCTCCTCCCGGTCCTCAGCAGCTTGTGAGCTGAACAGCCGTCCAACGTGGAAGCTCGAAGCCAGGTTGAGTCTGGGGCTCCTGAACTGTGCAGGGCTCCTCCAAGGACACAGAACTGGTTTTCCTGAAAAGACAAACAAGCAGAAAGAACGAGAGTGAATAGGACATCAGAAACAGAATATCCTAATTTTTTCACTAACGGTCAGTCTCACAGACACCACCCTGGAATTCTCTAAGGCAGGCTGTTGCTCAAAAGACCCAGTGTTACCCAGAAGAAATCAGAAGTGACTGAACACTGTGCAGCAGGCTAATGTTTCAGCATGAAGTTTTGGTAACAAATCCTCACTAGGTCAAATACCAAGAAAGTACGAGAACTCAGGGGCGGAGCTGTGGGAGGCGGGCAGGGGCTTCTGACACCACTTCCCATGTATGTTCCCTGGTAAGATCTTGTACAAACCCCCCCAAACTCAAAACATGCCTCGATGCTCAAGCCCCTATAGGAGCCTGAATAATGCTAGACCAGCCTTCCTTACTGTGTAACTGTCATGAAAGACGGAGAAAAAATACCCTGTAAAAGGGATCCAAATTTTTAAACGTTAATATTCTGAAATAGTCTCATCATCATCTTTTTTTTTTTGGTGAGGAAGATTCACCCTGAGCTAATATCTGTTGGCAATCTTGCTCTTTTTTTTTTTTTTTTTTGCTTGAGGAAGATCAGCCCTGAGCTAACATTCGTGCCAACCCTCCTCTGTTTCGTATGGGAGGTACCTCCACAGCATGGCTGATGAGCAGAGTAGGTCCACGTCTGGGACCCAAATCCGCAAACCTAGGCCAGCGAAGCAGAGTGCACAGAACTTTAGCCACTGGGCCACAGGGCCCGCCCCCTCCTCATCTTCTAAAGAATCTTTGTTGATTCTTTTCTTTTCCTTTTTTGTCCAAAACTGTCAAAGTGTTTTTAAAAATTAGTGTATTTAAAAACTGAAAACAAGTGAATGATCTCTCTACCCTGTAACCAAGAAAGGGCCTCACACTGTCTCTCATGTTGGTTTTCTGTTACCTCCTCTCAGCACAGTGGACCTAGGAACCACTGCAAGGGCAGAAGGGAAACCTAACCATGAGACACTACTGTCCCCAGCCTGGTGTGATTGACAGATGCATCCTCTGCCTTCAGACGCTGCAGAAACACATGCAGAAACCTCCACTCTAACCAGCAGGAAGCAATCCTTACTAGCAGGCCCTCAGGACAGCGCCACTCACCCAACTCCAAGACCACCAACCTGGGGACTGGTGTCGGTCAGTAGCTGCTTCATGCCTGATGCTTTCAAGGATACAGGTCAGACATGCAAGACACTCCGTGTGAAAGTCTAGACATTAATGAGCTGCACCTGCCTGTTAAGTATTACACATGTGGAACGGACAGAAAGGAATGATCTAGAATGTCCAGAAATAACTTGAAGGTTTTAAAAATCAACATATTGACTTCACATTCCTACAAGGTATAGAAAATTGCCATTTCTTTAAGCTTATTTCTGGATTTATAAATAAGATGATATTAGCCTTTACTTCTATGGAGAATATCTGAAAAACATCTACCCGATTCAGAAAATATTCAATTTCCAAAAAGTCTAAATGTTTAATTCTCTGGACCTAATTGCACTGTTCACTTTATCCATACAACTAAAAACAAAAAAACAAAACCTGGGATATTTCTTCTGGAATTCAATGACATTTGGTTAAGGGGTTTAACAAATAGTCTGCATCAGGCTAGGGGTGCTGAAGTCCCTGTGCTCCCAGCCAGCCTCCCACCCCAGGCAGAGAGTGACCGTGGGAGGGAACTTGACCAACAGACTGTGGGTGAGCTCCCACACTGCCTCCCCACCCAGGGAGAGCGCTCACAGACACATTCAGAGACATAAGCAGGTTCCCCACAAAAGTTGGGGACCCTCTGCTTTAAAGTACTGCTGGGCTTTAGGGAGGACACCAGTGAGACCGGAATAAGGAGAGATGTTTGAGGGTGGTAATACCCGAGTTCAGCCTCAGGACGGATTAAGCTCTACATGGAACATGATGACTCCAGATCATCATGGAGTGATCGTACACTACTGACAGGAGTATAAGCGTTTGGCCACTAGATTTAGGAGCGATGAAGGAGTTCCTCCAGAAGAGAGATGAGTAGAAAGCCCAGTAATCACAGATCGGCAGTGTTCTTGACCACGTCTCCATGCGAGCAGACTCCACAAACATGGACAGCATTTAAGAAGTTCTCACATCTAATATTCCTCTTACCATGTTTCACTCAGCAACCACTCCCTACTCCCCAGCCACAGGAAAGGACAGGGGTGTGGTCTTTCAGAGTCCTCTTCCAGCAGTGACATGCAGGTAGCACTTATCATGGTCCCTGACCCACCTCCAGCCACGAGGGTCTCCCTCCACTCTTCTGTCCAGTCCCTTGTCCTCGCGCACCTTTGAGCTGGTCTCCTTGCTGCAGCGCTGTTTCCTCTGATCCGTCCTTTAAATTTCTACACATTAATCTTCCGACACCAATTCCATCTTGTTGTTTCCCCGATTTCAGAGGACTTACTCCTGAATACAACCTCATCAACTCTAAATGCTTCCTTTGGCTGGTACTCCAGGCCCTCCACCAAACAGCCCCCTAAATGTCCAGAATCATACTTCCTTTGGCCCCACCCCAGCAGGTTTGCTGACGCCCCTCATGCCCCTCGCACCCCCACCTGTATGGTCACAAACACTGGGGTGTCTCTGCCCCTCTCTCCCTACACCATCAAGCTCAATCTTGGCACAGAGGGAGCGCTTCGTAAGTTCCTGTTCACACGCCCCCAAAACATCAGATAACACATCACACCCTCAAGAAGAGATGCTGGTCTTCCTCACTGGTGAATTTTATTTGGAGTAAAGTATTCTTGATCCACTCTATTTGCACAAAAGCAGCAGAATGTACTGAAGTGATCGTCTGTCCTCACTTCCTGTCCCACCCTTGTTCTGCTGACAGAGTCCTTTCCTTGCCATGTGTCTTTTGAGCCCTCAGAAAAGAACAGGGTGCATCCCCTCATTGCTTCGCTCAGCTAGAAACCATCCCTACCCCAAAGAAAACCGGAAATCATGCGAATCGAAAAACTCAGAGGCTAACAGCTCTCAGTATTTTAAGACCCCCATAAACTACCTTTTCTAAACCTGCCCCCAGATGTGGGGCGGGATGGGGGGCATCTGATTTATGGCCAGCATACTTTTTTATTTCCAGTCTTCCATGTATAAGTATTTTAATCAAGAACACATCTTATGTGGTATATATACACAATGGAATACTATTCAGCCATAAGAAACAATGAAATCCAGCCATTTGTGACAACATGGATGGACACTGAGGGCATTATGCAAAGTGAAATAAGTCAGAGGGAGAAGGTCAAATACCATATGATCTCACTCATTAAGTAGTAGATAATAACAACAACAAACAAACACATAGAGATTGGACTGGTGGTTACCAGAGGGGAAGGGGGGAGGGGGCGAAAGGGATAATTAGGCACACGTGTGTGGTGATGGACTGTGATTAGTATTTGGCCGGTAAACATGAGAACATGATGTAATCCATGCAGAAATAGAAATATAACGATGTACACCTGAAATTCATACAATGTTATAAACCAGTTACCACAATAAACAAAAAAATAAATTAAAAAAAAAAACCACATCTTAGAGATCATTCCACATTAGCACATACAGAGCTGCTTATTCTAACAAACTCATAATATTCCACTGTAATGGCTAAGTATTTAACTAGTGCTCAACTGATGGATGTTTAAACTGCTTCCAGTGCCGTTGTGCTGTTAAAAATAATGCTCCAAAGTGCTAAAGAGTTATCTACTGCATGATACCTTCATGAAGAAAAACGGGGGGTACAGGAAAATATCCATGTTTCCACTCATTTGTGCAAAAGAAACACAGGAAGTATAAACCAGAAACTAATAAGATTGTGTATTCGTTTCCTAGGGCTACTATAACAAAGGACCACAAATGGGGTGGCTGCAAACAACAGAAATTTACTCTCTCACAGTTGTGAGGGCCAGAAGTCCAAAATCAAGGTGTTGGCAGGGCTGGTTCCTTCTGGAGGCTCTGAGGGAGTCTGTCCAAGCCTCCCTCCTGGCTTCTGGTGTTGCCAGCAATCCTTGGTGTTCCTTGGCTTGTAGCTGCCTCACTCCAATCTAGGCCTCTGTCATCACACCGCCTTCTCTTCCGCGTGTGCGTCTCCTCTGTGTCCAAATTTCCCTCTTCTTTTAAGACACCAGTTATACTGGATTTGGGACTCACTCTAATCCAACATGACCTCATCTTAACTTATTACGTCTGCAAGGCTCTATTTCCAAATAAGTCACATTCACAGGTACCGGGAGTTAGGACTCAGACCTATCTTTTCGGGGCACACAATTCAAACCATAAGAAATTGGTTGCCTACAAGGGGTGTGTGTTAGTTTCCTGGGGCTGTCATGGCCAAGCACCACAGACTGGGCTGCTTAAACAACAAAAATGTAGCATCTCATGGTTCTGGAGGCTAGAAGTCCAAGAACAAAGTGTCAGGAGGGCTAGTTCCTTTTGAGGCTGTGAGGGAGAATCTGTTCTATTCCTCTCTCCCAGCTTCTGCAGCCTCAGGTGTTCCTTGGCTTGTATACGACTGTTTTCTCCCTGTGTCTTCACGTCTTCCCTCTGTTCGGGTCTGTCTCTGTGTCCAAATTTCCCCTTTTATAAGGACCTACTCATACTGGATTAGGGTCCACTCTAATGTCCTCACCTTAACTTGATCATCTGCAAAGACCCTATTTCCAAATAAGGTCATATCATGGGTGCTGTGGGTTAGGATTTCAACATCTTTTGGAGGACACAATTCAACCCGTAACAAGTATGTGGGAACAGTGGAAATAATCAGGGCTTGGGAATGGGGTGGCAGAATTGAGGGGAATGTGACATTTCTGAGTACACCTTTTTGCATATCTGACTCTGAGAACCGTGGTAACATTTCACATACCCAAAAAGTAAATAATTAAGAGAAACCAGGGTGTGTCAGAAATGTAAAATGAAATACAAACAGCAACTAATGTGCATAACTGTATC